CCATCACTAAATACATTAACACTTTTACACAAATGTATGTGTGTTCACATTAAATAGGAAAAAATTTCAGTTTGGGTCAAGGTTGCTACCAATTTATTTTAGTTCAGATTGGCTTAGGCCACCACTTTGATTATGAAATGAACCTTCATTTTCAGAAATGTTTATATTATGAATATGAGATTTTGGGCTTGAAGTTTTCTGTGATCTTCATCAATTTTCTGGCCTCAATCATCTCAAATGTTAAAATGAGAAGCTAGACTATGTAAATTATTTCTTTTGTGTGTGGTGAGAACATTTTTAAAAATTAAATTATTTTTCAATTACATTTGACACACAATATTGCATTAGTGCCTGGCCAGTGTGGCGCAGTTGGTTGGTTGTTATCCTGTGTAAAGAGGTGGGCGGTTTGATTCCCGGACTGGGTACATGCCTGGGTTTCAGGCTTGATCCACAGTAGGGAACATGCAGGAGGCAACAAATTGATGTTTCTCTTTCTCTCTCCTTCTCCCTTTCTCTCTCTCTCTCTCTTTCTCTAATATCAATAAAAACATATTTTAAAAAATATTACATTAGTTTTAGGTGTACAATAGTGATTAGACATGTATATACAAAGTGGTTACCTGATAAGTCTAGTATGCATCTGGCACCATAAAAAGTTATTATAGTATTTGTTATTACAATATTTTTTACTCTATTCCCAATACCACACTTTACATCTGAGACTATTTTTATAACTGGCAATTTGTTAGAATAAGTAGATTATATATGAACTTTTTAGATTCTAAATCTGAATGTCTATTTAATTCCCTGATAAATAAACACTACAATTAAATCAGTTTTATAATATCCCAATTTAATAATTATTTCAGCAGCCCTCGACATTCTTGAAAGATGAGTAGTAGTTATTTATGATTTATATATAAATATTAAGAAATGTAGGTCAAGAAGTCTTTCCACTTGGCCTTCTATATAGTTGAAAACAAACTAGTTTTCAAATTCATGATTTCCAGAATGTCTTCTAGTATAAGTGATGCAGACGTTCCGGGGGTTTGGGGACTCAGGGGTTCATGACCCACTGTGGGTTCTAGCTTCACTAAGGAAAGAATTAAAAACAGAACCCGCATAGAGTTTAAAGTGAAAGTGAGTTCATTAGTGAGGCCATTAGACAGAGAATGGGCTACTCCACAGACAGAGCATCCCCCCTCTATCAGAATTTGTTTCTTTTATTGAGTTTCATTTAAAGAGGGTGGGGGGTAGGGTATTCAATAAAGAGGGGGACTACTCAGGAGTTTCCCGGGAAAGGGGTAGAGGTTTGTTTCTCAGAGGAACTTGCTCACCATTTTGTGTCCTTATATGGGCTTTTTGTTTCTGATCATAATGGCACAGGGTGTGTCGTTTAGCATGCTAATGTATTAAAACTAGTGTATAATTGGCTTGGGGTTACCCTTAGGTGAAATAAGTCGCATGTTGGATGGAGCTGATCTCACTGGTTTGAAGCCCTAAATCTGGTAGGGGATGGTTTTACTTCTTGACAGTTCCTGTAGCTTTTATTGATTGCAGCTGTGTTGCCATATATCCTATCTCATAAGGTTCCATAGTCATAATTAAAATTTGAACTATGTAGAAATGGTGAGAAACATTGTGTGGGCTTTGTAATTTTCCTCTGAAAACCAAGAGGAAGAAATTAAACAGAATTAGACCTAGGGTAACCAAAAGGGAATCTGCAAAACCCCATTTTATTTCAGAGCCTCAATCTTGCAATCTAAATCCCAAGTAAAATGAGTCCTAAATATATAGAGACTAAGCTCTCCAATAAGGAAAGACTAAAACTAATCAATTCGAGTACTGATGAGGTCTCTCCTGAATGGAGATGACAAACTTAGGTAAGTTATGGGTGGGAGAATGAAGTGAAAACTAGAGGTGAGATGCAGTAGGCCAGACCTCACAAGCTGGCTGCTGAGAACAGCATATATTTGTTTTGTAGACTCACTTTATTTGTCTAGTACCTGTGTTAAAAAACGAAGTATTTGATTATTGTTAGGAATTAAATACTCTTTCATTTTCCATGTTTTCTGCCACTCCCTATGGTTGTGTACCTGTTGCTTCCCTCACTTAACTGACCTGATGGCCTAGGGCATTTAAATTTGCTACTCCTGTCTGTAGGTTATGCTATCAAAGCAGATTTTTAAAAATTGAAAGGTTGTTGTCGGTAGAGAGAGGCTATAGTATAGATTTAGGAATTGTTATTACAGTTCTGAGGGACTAGAAGCTATCTAGTTACCACCAGCTACCTTTTCCTTACATAATATTTATTGAGCATTTACTATTGTGTCCTATGCACTGGGGATATAATCAGAAATAAGACAAACATGGGCCACATGTCTAAGGATGGAGACAGACATCAAATCAGTAAACATGCAAATATGAAGACTAGTACACGTTATTATGAGAATGAAAGAATAGGATGAGAGAGAAATAGGGGTCATCCCTTACTTAGATAGAGAAGTCTCTTTAGGTCTTCCTGAGGTGGTGACATGTTGGTTGAGAAAGAACCAACCAGGTAAAAAATGAAGGAAATGTCTTTAAGGCAAAGGGAACAGCAAGTGGGAAGGTCTTGATGCAGAATGACCTTAGTATATGAGAAATAGAAAGAACAATGTGGTTGGAATGTGTGAATGAGATAAGGCAGTGGTCGGCAAACCTCGGCTCACGAGCCACATGCGGCTCTTTGGCCCCTTGAGTGTGGCTCTTCCACAGAATACCACGTGCGGGCGCGCAGTACAGTTCGAAGTTGACTTAAAACTTTAAATAAAGTTTATTAAGTTAATTTTAGGGAATGTTGTGGAGTGAAAGAAGATGTAGTGTCGAAGATTGAGAAAGGTATGTTGAGATGGTTTGGACATATAGAGAGGATGAATGAAAGGAGATAGACGAAACAAGTATACAAGATGAGTGTGGATGGGAGAGTTGGAAGGGGTCGACCTCAGCGAACGTACCTCAATCAGATTGAGGACGTTTTTAGCAGAGGCCAGCTTAGGAGTACCCTAATTAAGTTAATAACAATGTACCTACCTATATAGTTTAAGTTTAAAAAATTTGGCTCTCAAAAGAAATTTCAATCGTTGTACTGTTGATATTTGGCTCTGTTGACTAATGAGTTTGCCGACCACTGAGATAAGGCAAAGCTATTAGAAGAAGTTTAGATACTATTCTAAAGGTTGATGACAAACCATTGAAGGAATTCAAGCAAGATCAGATTAGAATGTTGAGGTTATTTGGACTGCTATGTGGGGAATGGACTGTAAGGATACAAAGTGAAACTTCTACTGTCATCCTGGCTGAAGGTGATGGTGACTTGAGGCAGTGTAGATGGACAGATTGGATGTGCAATACCTTCTAAAAAGAAGAAGAATCTTAATGGATAAGATGTGGTTGTGAGTAGAAACAAGACTCTTTGGCAATGTTATTAAAGGCTTGAAAAATGAATTCCTTGACCAGAGACCCTATAGAATTACACATTGGAGTTTATCCCTACATTCCTAAAGTTGGTGGGCAATCAATCACCATGATTCTTGGTAATTTGGCAGAGGTTCCAAAAGTCGTGGACTTGTGCTACTTTTCCTTCCATTTAAGAAGATTTAGGCTACTGCAAAGGCCACTAGACATGGGTAGTTCTGATACTGAACTCAGGTTTGACTGCCTGCCACTTTGAAAGACAGGTGCTGGTGCAGGAAAGATGGTTTATTCAAGTGCCTGAGCAGCTTGAGAAGATGGCAGACTCACATCCGAAATACATTTTTAACATCTTAGTGCAGGCAGGGAATTTTATTAGGATGGAGAGGGGAAACAGAAAAAAGAAATCAGGGGAAAGAGGTTGAAAGTTCTCTTCGTGTAAGTCAGCACGTTTGCATTCCGATGATTATCTTGAAACTGGTCAAACAGAGGTCGGATTTTTATGGTTGAGAGTCAGCAAGTCTTCTGGAGTCAGAATGTTTGGTTGCTAGAGTCAGCTTCCTCCCCCAAAGCTAGTCCTAGACTCTTACACAAATATGCTGCTTATTCACAGGTTACATATTAGTTGACAATTCATCTTTAACAAAAACACTTTTAACAGAAACAATATCAAAAGAATAGAAAGGTGGGTTACAATGCAACCGAATGTATATGGAACAAAAATTTGTGAAAAATGGGTAGTGTTACTTAGAGAACCACTTGATTAGTCTGATGCCCTAGAGATGCTCAGTTCAGTTTAGTGGATACTTCCTCAGGAAGGAGATGCTGAGGCAGAATTTGCAGTGCTATATATTTATCCACGGATCCAAACTTGTGAAAGGAAGATGGAGAAAGAAAAATAGAAGTGATGAAAAAATAAATTTCAATGCAGGTTCAACAAAGTCTGGGTCAACCCTGCAAGGAACTTTGGAACACATATTGCAAATCAGAGTAGCCCACATTGGGTCCAAGCTGCTGGGTCTTTACATTCCTGTCTTGCTCATTCATTAGGTGTAGGCTGCCCCAGCAATGGTATGCCTTTGGACTCTGCAGGTGAGTCCATCCCTGAAGGAGGTGACAGCTGGGCATCAGGTGCTCTGTAGAAGTGGATGGCATATCCCATGTCCACCAAAAGTGCAATATTGCTTAATCGAAGTAGAGTGTAAGTTGGATAGCTGCTTTATTCTTTAATTTATGTAGTTTCTTTCCTCCCAGGAACTTAAAGGAAAACATACATAATTTTTTAATTACAAAATATTTATCAGTCACTGGCACAATCCAAGAGCGGGGAATTAAGAAATTAGAGATTGGGGAGACCAAAAACAGGAAAGGCAAGAGGGGGGAAAAAAAAGAATGGAAGGAGGCTTCTAAGAGCAAGGAGAAGAAAATTTTAATAAAGTGCACCCAGTCCTAGGCCTTATTTTAAAAAACACTACAATTAACACATCTTTAAAAACGTTAAAAAAAATCACATTGTAAAATTTAGCTGTCTCTTGTTTCCTTGACAGATATGGAAAGCATGAATAAAAAAGACCGACCATTCATGACAATTCAGAAAAAAGATAGCTCAGGTATTTTTTTTTTAATTTCCACATCTGTTTTATGATTTATGGTGGATTATGCATGATATAAAGTTGGAATGTTGATTTTAAAAATTTTAATCATGGAAAGCTAATTTTTGGGATCAAATTGAAGGTTTCTTTAGTTCCCTTACAATGAGTGTTAAAAAATATTTTTTATTGGTGACACTATTACAGGTGTCTCCCATTTCTCCCCCCATCATGCCCTCATCTACCTAGCCCCTGCACCACCCCAGGTCTTCACCACATTATTGCCTATGTACATGGGCTATGCATATATGTTCTTTGCTTACTCTCTTCCAGTCCTCCCTAACACCCTGCGAGATCTGTTAGTCTGTTCCATGTATCCATGCCTCTGGTTCTATTTTGTTAGTTTATTTTGTTCATTAGATTTCACATATAAGTGAGATCATGTGATATTGTCCTTCTCTGACTGGTTCATTTCACTTAGCATAATAATCTCCAGCTTCATCCATACTGTTGCAAAGGGTAAGAGTTACTTCTTCTTTTTTTTTTTTTTAACAGCCTCATAGTATTCCATTGTGTAAATGTACCACAGCTTTTTTATCCACTCATCTACTGATGGGCACTTGGGCTGTTTCCAGATCTTAGCTATTGTAAATAACACTGTTATGAACAAACATAGGTGTGCATATATTCTTCCTGATGGTTATTTGGGTTTCTTAAGATATATTCCCAGAAGTGGAATTGCTGGATCAAAAGGCAGTTCCATTTTTAATATTTTGAGGAAACTTCATACTGTTTTCCACAGTGGCTGCCCAGTCTGCATCCCCACTAGTGTACCAGATTTTTCCTTTTCTCCACTTCCTCACCAGCATTTGTTGTTTGTTGGTATATTGATGATAGCCATTTTGGCAGGAGTGAGGTGATACCTCTTTGTAGTTTTAATTTGCTTCTCTCAGATGATTAGTGACGTTGAACATTTTGCCATCTGTATATTCTCTTTGGAGGAGTGTCTATTCAAGTCCTTTGCCCATTTTTAAGTTGGATTGTTTCATCTTCCTGTGGTTGATTGTATAAGTTCTTTAAATATTTTGGAAATTAACCCATTATCAGATGTATCACTGAAAAATATGTTCTCTGATACAGTGGGTTTCCTTTTTATTTTGTTGATGGTTTCTTTTGCTGTGCAGGAGCTTTTTAGTTTAATGTAGTCCCATTTGTTTATTTTTTCTTTTGTTTCCCTTGCCCTAGGCAAAAATACTGCTATGTGAGATGTCTGAAATTTTGCTGCCTATGGCTTCTTCTGAAATTTTCATGGTTTTGTGACTTACATTTAAGTCTTTTATCCATTTTGAATTTATTCTTGTGTATAGTGTAAGTTGGTAGTCTAGTTTCATTTTTTTTTGCATGTACCTGTCCAATTTTCCCAACACTATTTATTGAAGAGACTGTCTTTACTCCATTGTATGCTTTTGCCTCCTTTATCAAATATTAATTGAGCATAATGGTGCAGGTTGATTTCTGGCCTCTCTGTTGTCTTCCATTGATCTATATGCCTGTTCTTGTGCCAGTACTATGCTATTTCAATACAATGGGTGTTTTAATCATCTTCAACCATCCTTTTCTTCATTGTGCTTGTCCTAAAATTGTTTAGAGCCTTTATATAGTCATGTGATCCATGATATACTTAACAAATCTTAATTACGTTACATGACACATGATTCATAATTAAGGTAAAAGTATTTTTTTCTTGAATTAATCAGGTTATTATTCTTTATTGGACTTGGCCTAAGTACTCTCTACTTATGTTTTACTTTATCAAAATAGTTAATATACTAAACTAAGTATTTGGATGGAGAATGCCTGTCCAAACATTTCATATCACGTTACTTTATTTTTATGATTTATTTTTGAGCAGAAAGAGGTGTATTCACTCTCCAAGGGAGGAAAGGGGCCAAGAGCGAAAGATAGCTAATGGCCCTATCTCCATGAGGGGTTGAGGTTTTTAAGGTCTGTTGAAAGGTTAAGGTGGGGGCTCTGGGATGGAGCTGGCGTCAGCGGGGTCCAGGTGAATGGCATGCTCTGTTCCTTTGGCAGGATGAGGCCATATTTAGAATAGAATTCTGTTCTGCCGTTGAAGAAGAAAACCGTGGAAGAATGTCGCCCTTGACAACTGCTTCTGCTAGGTCATCATTATAATTAGCCAGTCTCCCTAGAGCCAAAGCGGCAGTCGGCTGAATTGTTGGGACCACATCCAGAAGAATAGGCCTCAGAAAAGACATTACACCCACATTCTGCAGGGCCTCATGTTTGGGGGTCTGGTCGCCAGCTCTGTCACCATCTGCAGGAACTGGACTCGGGCTTTCTGGTACTGCTCCAGCACTTGCAGCACCTGCCTCTGACTCACGGTGACCTCAGCTCTCTGCTGGCCACCGCTCAGGGCAGCGCGGCTCATCTGTGTATGGCCTGCGAGGCTGGGGAGCAGATGGGGCGACTAGGACAGCGCCTCACTCTGTCCATTCGTATCATTTTGGTTTTATTTGGCCTATTACATTTTTTAGCTTTCATTTTCAACCTTTTTTTCAAATTGAATTGAATGTTTTTGTTTTTCTAAGAAATACAGCTATGACTTAAAAAAATCTATTTACTTAATTTGATTCATAATAATGTGATACTTAAATACTTATAGTTGCTGCCTAACATTTTTTAAATTAAAAAAGTAGTCACACTTTGTATCTTGGCATTATACTTTAAAAATATTCTCACTAGCCCTAACCGGTTTGGCTCAGTGGATAGAGCGCCGGCCTGCGGACTCAAGCGTCCCAGGTTCGATTCCGGTCAAGGGTTAAGTTTTTGGTTATATATTAAAAAAAATATTCTCACTATATTAATTTAAATGAAAGTATTTTTTTGATAGCCATTTAGAAGTAATTTTATGCAAGGAATATAGTGGTAATATATTTTAAGTTTCTATAGATGTAGGTTCAAATATACTATGAATGTTGTAATATATTATTTCTTGTATTTACTTTAAAATACTTAAAATAAGACCTGTAGTCAGCATGCTGCTATAACTGTATTTTAATGTCCAATAATGTGATATTATTTCTTTCTCATTTTATTTTTTGATGGAAAACAGATAATCTGGTATTCTGTATGAAAAATGGAATGAGAAGCATTAAGTATAAGCCAGTAGACTATCAGCAATTGCACACATTAACTGAAGCAAAAAAATTAGCTGCTGCCTCCACAGAGCTAAAGGTTAGAAGTTGTGTGTGGGTGTTTTTCTAGTTTTATAAAACTGAATTGCTAGGAAGTAAAATATTTAAATGTAAATGTGAAAATAAATAACATTTTAAATAGCATTTAGAATCTTCTAACTATTAATAATAGTGAATAGCTGCTAACATTTATTGAATGTTCTCTGACACTGTGCTATGCAGTTTACTCACTTAATGTTCATAACAACTTATGAGGTCTGAATTCAACTTTATTTTTTAGTAAGATTGCTATTTCATTAGCTTTCAACAATTTCTATCATAATCTGAAAAATAAAAATTGCGAGTAAATGCCAGCTATGGAATACCCTCTGATTTAAGGCTCCTTCTGCAACACTGTTCAAGTATGCCCTTGATGCCTCTGTTCTAGAATGCCCGTTTTTGCCTTGACCTAACAAAGGGTGAATCTGGACCAGATTTGAAAGGGGTTTATGTGCAAGTGATTGTGCACAGTATTTTAGGACCATGTATGGTTTAGGATTACCATGCAATATGTTTCCCTCTTGAATTTCTTGGGAAAATCACATATAACATCATCCTAATAAAACTATTTTTATATTTCTGACTTCTATTCTGACCTACTGTATATATACAGCATATACATATACATACATACATACATGTATACGTACATATTTGATTTTTTCCATGATAAACATAGACATAAAACCCTGTATGGTTTTCCCCCTAATATTTTTCCACATAATCTTGATAATATTTAATTATCTTATGATATTTAATTACTCAAGTAAATAACTATCATGCACCTTGAAGATACAATAGTGAATAAAATATAGCCCCTACTCTCATGGAATGTACTTTTTGCAGGAGAGTGGGAAGAGGGAAGTGTTTCTCAAATAAACCCCCAAATAAAATTATATTAAGTATAAACTCCAATAGAACATACTGTCTGGTGTATAATAACAAGACTTGATTCCTGTTGGGCGGGAAAGTTTTCCTGAGGAAGTGACATTGGAATTGGGATATTAAGGCTAGCAAAAATAAATTGAGCAAAAACAGGATTGATGAGTACTCCAAATAGAAAAAGACACATGTCTTATTACATCTCCATTTTGGGATATTTGGATTATATCCAATTTTATGATATTGGAAATTATGCTTCAGTAAATGTCTCCATGCATGGACACCTTTTCATGTTTTAGAATCCTCTACTGCATAGGATAAATTCCTATGACTGGAATGTCTGAGCAAAAAAGTATGAATGTTTTTTAGCTTTTTCCTAAAGTATTGTTCTAATAAAGATGCTGCCACAAACATTTTCTCTACAGCCTTGTCACTATTGGAATATGTACACATACATATTTACATATGTGTACATAGTCCTAATATTATCGATGTATTTATTTTGTCCATCTTTTTATCCATCCATCCATCCATCCATCCATCCATCCATCCATCATGCACCAAAAAATAACAGTTTGGAATGTGGAATGTTTGAGTGTTAAAATCACTATTTGAACAAAGTGACTTTCTATGTTTTTTAAAAAATATTTTATTGATTTCAGAGAGGAAGGGAGAGGGAGAGAGGGATAGAAACATCAATGATGAGAGAGAATCATTGATTGGCTGCCTCCTGCACACCCCGCACTGGGAATTGAGCCAGCAACCTGGGCATGTGCCCTGACCAGGAATTGAACTGTGACCTCCTGTGAACAAAGTGAATTTCACTTTGATAACAGAGTCACTATCAAATAATAAAGTATTTAAAATTTTTAATAGTTAATGAGGTTTTGAAGTTTCACATTACAATAATTTCTCAGTGTTATCAGCTGCTAAATTACTTCTCTCATCATTTTCAAACACTTTCTTCTTTTTTTAATACAATTTTCATTTTCTACTATCTCTGTATTAAGGAAGATGTATTGGGAATATTGTTATATATGCTTTGTGGAGTCTTCTTTTCTCACCTAATTTAGAGATAGCAAGTTAACATTTGCTTCTAATTTACTCTTGTAAGATGTGGACAATTACCAACTATGATCTTTTCTTGAAAGACTCAGGGATTAAATGGAATTAGAGACCTGGAAATTAAATACAAATCTTAAAGTTTAATTTTTTAATGCTATGAATGCTAATATGCCAAATTGTCTACACCAACTAAAATTATGAATATAATGTCATCTTTGTTATTCTTTCTTATATTATTTGAATTTTTATAAAATATATATTGGCTCAAGAAGACTATTTTATTTTTTTAAAAGTTCCATATTTTACTAATTAAATGTGCTCATTTTTCTACACCTGAAATTAGCAGCTTTAACAATCATTGTTAATTATTACAACACTACTCTGGCAGTATTAAATGTAAATATACTTAAAAGTGAATGATAGAATATTAACATTTAAAGCATATAAGTACATTTTTGCTTTAAGTTACATTTAGAATACTTAACTATTTTTAAAAATTAATAAAAATTATTGTTAATTAACAATAAATTCAGAAGACTTGCCTGAATTATATTACTGGTATTGTTATACTGATTAGATGTGATGGTCACCTATTTAATAATTACTGTGTCAGAGATCATGCGTAAGTTCTAGGGTGCCAGATAAGAGACTTATGTAGACATTGAGTGAGCTAGTCTTTCAAAGGCTGAGATTGAACCTGAAGCCAAATAGTAGATTTGGGCTGAAAACGGAGACTAAATTTTGATACATTTTATGTTAACTGTTCATTCCTATTTTAAGTATAAAAGAGATCTTTATGATTATTTTTATTAGAATTTATTTGCTTAATAAAAATGAACATGTCCAATTCAAGTATCCATCCACTGTTTCTTTTTATAAATGTTATTTTATGGAAAATTGTTAGCATATGTAAAATTAGAATGAATGGTATCATTAATCTCCAATGTAACATTATCCAGCTTCAACTGTGATCAATGCTTGGCCATTGTTTCTTCTTTACTCCCACCCACAATTTCTCCTGTGACAGATGATTTTGAAGCAAATCTCAGACATCATAATGTTCAACCATAAATATTTTAGCATGTCCCCAAATCCTCCAACAGCATTACCATTAAAAATGACAAAAATTTCTTAGTATCAAATTTCCACTCAATGTTAAATTTCCCTGATTTTTCTCCAAGTTTTTCTTAAACTTTATTTAAATCACTATCTAAATAACGTCCTTATATTGAAATTTATTTTTTCTCCTCCTTCCCCTAGTGTCCTTGTAATTTATTTCTTGAATAAATTTTTAAAAACTGACTATCTAAATAACGTCCTTATATTGAAATTTATTTTTCTCCTTCCCCTTGTGTCCTTGTAATTTATTTCTTGAATAAATTTTTTAAAAATATTTTTTTATTGATCTCAGACAGGAAGCGAGAGGGAAAGAGAGATAGAAACATCAATGATGAGAGAGAATCATTGATCAGCTGCCTCCTGCACACCCTACAGTGGGGCTCGAGCCTGCAACCTGGGCATGTGCCCTTGACCGGAATCAAACCCAGGACCCTCAGTCCACATGCCAATGCTCTATCCCAGGGGTCCTCAAACTACGGCCCGCGGGCCACATGCAAATACAAATATTGTATTTGTTCCCGTTTTATTTTTTTACTTCAAAATAAGATATGTGCAGTGTGCATAGGAATTTGTTCATAGTTTTTTTTTTTAAACTATAGTCCGGCCCTCCAACAGTCTGAGGGACAGTGAACTGGCCCCCTGTTTAAAAAGTTTGAGGACCCCTGCTCTATCCACTGAGCCAAGCCAGCTCAGGCTCTTGAGTAAATTTTATTGTTTGTTTTTTTAATAGTTTCTTACAGTCTGTATTGTGCTGGTTACATCCTGGTGGTGTCATTTAACATGTTTTTCTGTCTCTTGCATTTCCAGTAAATTGATAGTTATATGTAGAGATTTGATCAGATTCAGGTTCCATTTACTTTAGCAAGAATACTTACTGATGGAATTTTTGTGCTCCAGTCTTTCTCTTACAAATAGTGCTTCAGTGAATGAACAACTGTGTTCATTTATCTTTTTATGTTTTTACTAAGATACTTTTCAGGTAGATTTCTATAAGTTAAGGTAAATCCATATGAAATCTTCCTATACAGCTTCAAATTCCCTTGGGGGGCGGGTTTGCATCATTTTGTATTTCCATTAGCAACTAAAGAGAGAGCATGTTTTCCCATGACCTCAAAGAGTGTTTTGTTAAACATTTGCAGTTTTACCAACCTGATAGATGTGAAATTGTAACTTAGTGTATATAGTTGATTTTTCTTTTGATTTATTTAATAATTCTTTATTAAGGTATAACTCACATATAATAAAGTGTACAAATCTTAAATGTACATCTCAATGAATTTTGACAAATATCTACACACATGTAACCAACACTTAAATAGTCCACCAGTTATTGTTATTTATATTTAAAGATGGACCATCTGGCCTAAAGTGCTTTTATGGCATTTCAAGGTGCCTGTTTAAGTTTTATCTTGGATCATCACAATGAAGTCCATAAGGAACCCTAGTTTCTGATTCTTTTATGAATTTATTATTTTTGTTCTCTTAAATTCATCATCATTCTGCATAAATCGTCATCCACCTTAAATATTGATTTCATATGGCTCATTGCCCAGCAACATGAATTGGAATAACCTGAAAATCTCTATATTGATAAAGATACAACCTTTTGCTTTTTTAAGACTTTATTTTTCTGAATTTTTGGCTTGGGGATAGAAGTGAAGTCAATGAGTGAATTTACAAAAAAATTAGAATGTTCTGCAAGATATAGGAAGTGTCTAGTGAAAAATAGTAACTTTATTTTGATGTTTATAGTCTACTTAATTTGTCTTTTCCTGGGCCCAAAGGCAACAGTATTGATTTTTTTAAGCTATAAAAATGTGTCTACATCTTTCACCAATGTGTTTTAACTTTTTGTACAACATGGACCAAATATGTCAAAGAAATCTAATTTTAAAAGTTGTGTCTGCTGCAACAAACTTTAGAGACAATAGATGACAAATAGTTGGAATGAATTTAGGAGCATGTCAGTTTTTAGAAGTACATGGTGTCACTATGTACTTTTTTTGTGTGTAGATAAAATAGAGATTCTGAATGTATTCTGGTGGCATCCTGTTATTTGAATGTATTTCTAAATTTCATGATTGTAGCACTCGTAAGACCTTCTGAAGAAAAGATGTGACTTTGACTTTCCCGCCCCACCCTCCGCCCTCACTCCCCACCCACTGTCCTCATCCATAGGTGCACGATTTTTGTCCAGTTTCTTCCCGCATCTCCCATTCCCCTTTCCCCCCCAAGAATAGTCAGTCCATTCCCTTTCTATGTCCCTGATTCATTATAATCACCAGTTCATTCTGTACATCAGATTATTTATTCACTTGGTTCTTAGATTCACTTGTTGATAGATGCATGTTTGTTGTTCACAATTTGTATCTTTACCTTTTTCTTCTTCCTCTTCTTAAAGGATACCTTTCAGCATTTCGTATAATACTGGTTTAGTGGTGATGAACTCCTTTAGCTTTTCCTTATCTGTGAAGCTCTTTATCTGACCTTCAATTCTGAATGATAGCTTTGCTGGATAAAGTATTCTTGGTTGTAGGTTCTTGGTATTCAGCACTTTGAATATTTCTTGCCATTCCCTTCTGGCCTGCCAAGTTTCTGTTGAGAAATCAGCTGACAGTCGTATGGGTATTCCCTTGTAGGTAACTGAGTTTCTTTCTCTTGCTGCTTTTAAGATTCTCTCTTTGTCTTTTGCTCTTGGCATTTTAATTATGATGTGTCTTGGTGTGGTCCTCTTTGGATTCCTTTTGTTTGGGGTTCTCTGCGCTTCTTGGACCTGTAAGTCCATTTCTTTCACCAGGTGGGGGAAGTTTTCTGCCATTATTTCTTCAAATAGGTTTTCAATATCTTGCTGTCTCTCATCTTCTGGCACCCCTATTATTCTGATGTTGGTACGCTTGAAGCTGTCCCAGAGGCTCCTTACACTATCTTCGTATTTTCGGATTCTTTTTTCATTTTGCTTTTCCGGTTGGGTGTTTTTTGCTTCTTCGCATTTCAAATCTTTGGCTTGATTCTTGCGCTCCTCTGGTCTGCTATTGGGTGTAATATTCTTTATTTCAGAGCGTGTATGCTTAATTTCTAGTTTCTTTATCATAGCATCGAGGGTCTCATTAGTTTTCGTGAGGCTCTCCAGAAGTTTATTGCAAGCCCTCAAAATTGCGTTTTTTAGCTCTATATCCTCCATTTCTGTCATGTTTTTTTGTCTCCGCATTTTTTATGCTTTCTTGGTGCACCCCCTAGTGGTCTTTGTGCGCAGTCTTGTTCTAGTTGAGCCTTGATTGTTGTAGTTAATACTAGAGGGATTTGACCACCAGGCCGACTGGCTGTGTGAATCAGCTGTGTCTGCCGCGGAAAACTTCTGTCCTCTGGGGAGGTGCTAATCTAGCCTTTGCCTGAGGCGATCTGGCAAATGGCTCTGCGCAGGGCTTGGGCGGGGCGGGCTCAACAGGGCGGGCGGAGGGAGCGGTTATGGCCCCTCTCAGTCCCGTTCCCAGAGGCTCTGCTTCTCAGAACCCCAGGAACCGCTGCAAACCTCGGAGGGAAAGCTGCCTTCCAACTGATGCCAGACACTCCCACTTCTCCCGTTTGAGTCCCCAGCGATTCGCCCGTATCTGGAGCTCAGAGTCTGAGACTCCCCCCTGACCGAAAACGACAACCGCGCTCTCAGCCACCAGCCCGCTTTGCGCGCGCACCTCCGCACCTGAGTTTTTTCCACACTGCGCCTCCTCTGAGCCTCGGTGTGCTGTTATTTTTCCTTCTAGTTGAAGAGTCTCTCCTCAGCCAGCCTTCCTGCGGTTCTGGGTGATGTCCGTTCCGTCTTTTAGTTGTATTTTTGAAGTGGTTGTTTGCGGCAGCAGTCTGCGGTGTTTACCTATGCCGCCATCTTGGTCTCTCCCCGGTGTCCTGTTATTTAAATGTACTTCTAAATTTCATGATTGTGGCACTCTTAAGACCTTCTGAAGAAAAGATGTGACTTTGACTTTGTGTTTTTTTAAAAGTAATGTTTGGGTTATTTTGTTTTGTTACAGGCCTAATTTTGAATCAGTAACCAGAATAGCAGGAAGACCTTCTGAAGAAAAGATGTGACTTTGACTTTGTGGGTTTTTTTTTAAAGTAATGTTTGGGTTATTTTGTTTTGTTACAAGCCTAATTTTGAATCAGTAACCAGAATAGCAGAAAGATAAACTCAAGGTTAAAGTAATCAGTGAATGACAGCTAGAAATAGCCTGCATTATAAAGTCTTTTTAGGTCTTGTCTTCTGAAGTTTTTATATTTTAAGTATTGGTCTGTTAAAGCTTTCAGGCTATTAGTAGCAGAGAAAATGTAAAATATGCATATTTCATCAAGTTTCTGATATGAGTAGCACTTTTGTAGATGTTTAAAAGTATTAATATGAAATACACAAGTTGGGAATACACATGAGTATCGGTCAGAGTCTAACCTGGAAACAGACACCACTTGAGGAGGTTTTTACTGAGCAGAGGGAGTCTTTAATTCAGGAAGTGGTTACCCAGGTGATAGAGCTGAGAAGCCAAAAAGGACTCTGAAGCAATATGGGATTAAAACAGCAGGAAATCATGCCATGCCTAAGTCAAAGGGTCATGTGAACCAATATCACCCCAATAAATTCAATAACAAAAGCAAGGCTGTACCACATCTCATGAACGGAGCTTACCTACCCAGAGATAGTTGGAGCTGTAGCAAAGCTGTCAAGAAAAGTGGGAGCAAATGGAGAAGGTGGAGCTGCTCCTAGCGCCCCTGTGAGAGTAGAGAGGTAGGAGCAGTCATCTTTTGCCTTCTCCTTTCCTCCTTCCCTTCGGTCTCCCACTGCCAGTGTCTCCCTTTGGCTGAACCCAACGGGAAGCCAGCTGATAGGAGTGTTTGAGAAGCACAGGCTACTCTGTGATATGGAGCAGATCAGAGAAATGGCCACGAATGGATCTTAGGGCAAACAAACCCCGGCCTGACAGAACTTGTCTACAGAAACCCCAGTACTAATTCTATGATACCTTTTTAAAAGTCATAACATTTGGGGAAATTTTCAATTTTAAAAATATGGGTTTTAATGTATATAAATTTTTACAGTTTCAAGTATCTTCAAATACATATTTAAAAAACTTGTTTACAAAGTCATGGAAGATTAAAATTGCATGTTCAAGGTCATATAGCCAGGCCTTCTAACAATTTATCCAATGACTTTTTTCATCCTTTGCTGAAGGATCAGATAAAAACCAATTCAGACACCACGGTTCTGTGTGCTTCTCATGTTTATGAGCTTTAGGACCAAGTCTTTTAACTTCTCTGAACAGCAGTGTCTTCTGTAAAATGGGCCTAATGATGTTCACGATGCCTGGCAGGGAAGGTATGTCAGAAGGCGAGAAAATACATGGAAAAATTTTCTGGGACTGAATGAATTAGGTGTTATTTATTGTATGTATGGAAAATAGAACCACTTCATCATTCTTTTCATAAATGCTTTAAAAACAGTTCTTAAACTGTTCAGTATTCCAAATCATTTTCTCTTTCACTTCCCTGCTTTTTGTTTAATATACTATTTATTTTAAGGTAAATTTTGTGTTAAAAGATGCACTAATAAGATTGAAAAAGAGTAAGTATTTTAGAAAATACAGATTAAACATTTCCAGTGTGGAAAACACATTTTAAGAATTTTAAATGGCTCATTTTTGTTTCTCTAAATCTAGATCAGAAAAGCAGTGCAGACTTCAAAGATATCTAAGGAACAACAACTAATAAAACAACACAGGCAGGTGTGGTGGCAGGAACACCAAAGGCTAAAGGAAGTCAGGTAAGGACTGGGGGAAATCTCAGTAAGTACACAGAGAAATTACTAAGACTTGCACTGATTTAGTTAGATGTTCTATAACCTTCCATGTTAATCAAACTATTATAACGAAAATTGAAAGTTACAGTTTGAATGTGAGCCAAATTAAAAAAATTTATTTCCTCAATTTAATTTGGAATTCAGTGACTATATTAAAATGACTTTTGCTTTCCTTCAGAAAAAAAGATAATCTTTATCTGCTAAAGTGGTGAGTAGGGCAACCATCCCATCATATTCATTTTTTCATTGTAGGATACATGATAGGAGATTTATAAATGTTTTCAATAAATAAATGAACAAATAAACTAAGGGGCTATAGTTGCTCAGTGATTTCTGGATGGAACTACATCATGACTCATTTATTCAATTTGGATTTCTGACTTTTGTTATTATTTCCAGCATCCACTTCAAGATGAATTAAAACAAAATAATGATTCTATACTTAATCTTAATTGTAGTCTTTGAAAAACAAATGTCTTCCCAAAGGTTAAAGCAAAAAGAGAAGGCAGATGGTTCCCTCCATTAGAGGCATATATACTAGTTTTAACGATAATGGTATTTGTAAAATATGCTTTTTAAAATGTAGGTTTTAGCCCTAGCTAGTTTGGCTTAGTGGATAGAGCGTCGGTCTGCAGACTGAGGGGTCCCAGGTTCAATTCCGGTCAATGATGCAAATCCATTTCCAATCATGAGCCTTTCACTTCACATGTAGAAATCTCGTGGCAAAATTAAAAAACTCCTATTAATATAAAAGTGTCAAAAGTAAAGTTAATGGTATTTGGCAATTTGACTTAGAATAAGACCACAAAATTTACCTATTTTGATACAAAATATACATTTCAAAATCTACATTTTTTTCCATTTATTTATTTTATTTTATTTTTAATATATTTTTTTATTGATTTCAGAGAGGAAGGGATAGGGAGAGATAGATAGAAACATCAATGATGAGAGAATCATTGATCAGCTGCCTCCTGCACGCCCCTCACTGGTTTTACTACACTACTATGCACCCATCATTCATTTAATAGTTTCAAATGTGATCTTAAAGGTACTTCTGGCAAAAATTACACACTGGGAAAAAACATAGTACAGTGTCATCTACACTAGTACCCCTTTTTTATACATACAAACAAAACTCCTGGCCCATGTAAGTGAATAGGTTTAGAAGAAGATGGCACATATATAACATGGAATACTGTGCAGCCATTTAAATAAATGATAACCATGATAATTATTTTAAAATATCTTTAAAATATTTAAAAAACATCAATATAAAATGGTAAATATGCCATAATTACAACCATTTAAAATACATATACATGTAGATAACAGAAACTTATAAGCAAAATTTAAAAAATTGTTGTATTAATGTGTTGTAATTGTTCCTATTTTTAATTTTATGCCATTTTTAATATTGCATTTTTAAAATCATAATAAATAAAAAATTTTCTACTATTTCATTAAATCTGCCATAAACAAAGAATAAACTATAATATTTTTGAATGTCCATTTAGAGCAGGTTATGCTTTTACTCTAAAAGTGACTATATTTATTTTTTGTTTGTTTTTAATTCTCACCAGAGGATATTTTTTCCATTGATTTTTAGAGAGAGTGAAAGAGAGGGAGGAGCGGGAGAGAGAGACATTGATGTGAGAGAGACACATCAACTGGTTGCCTCTCACTCCTAAAGGGGCTGGGGATTGAACTCACAACCAAGGTACGTGCCCTTGACTGGGCCGATGCTCTAACCACTGCTCAGGGCTAAAAATGGCTATATTTAAATAATATGTAACCAACCAGGGCTAAAAATGACTATATTTAAATAATATGTAAAAGGTCATTAAGATTTATTCCTTTTACTACTGTATAAAAACCAAATATACTTTTACCCTTATTTCCTTAGTTCAGGAATTCATTTTCTCTTAACTTTTAAAATAACTTTCTTGTTGGTTCAGATTCACCTTGTCCCCTCCTGTTCATTTTCCATTTCTATTGATCACCCCTCTTTCCAGTCTGTCCTGCATCTTGCTGCCTTGGGAATCTTTCTGAAACACAGATCTGCTGAGCAGGGGAGGTCAGCTTAATATCCCTCAATGGCTTCCCATCTAGAAGTGGTGCTAGGGCATGTCACGGGCTCACCTTGGCTTTCGCTGTTACTTCTTCCCAGAGCGTTCACTTATGCTTCTTTTCCTTGCAAAACATTTGGTCTTGTCTAAAACGCCCAGAGATATTTGGTCCACGCCTTGATATTTGGCCCTGTCCAAAACATGCATAGTTAATATAGGTTCTGGGTGATGTCCGTTCCGTCTTTTAGTTGTATTTTTGAAGTGGTTGTTTGCGGCAGCAGTCTGCGGTGTTTACCTATGCCGCCATCTTGGTCTCTCCGCTGTTACTTCTTCCCAGAGCGTTCACTTATGCTTCTTTTCCTTGCAAAACATTTGGTCTTGTCTAAAACGCCCAGAGATATTTGGTCCACGCCTTGATATTTGGCCCTGTCCAAAACATGCATAGTTAATATAAATTCTGCAAGATTCCAACCTGGAACCATCTAGCTAGCCCCATTTGCCATTACCAGCTAGGCTACTGAGGCAAGAAGGGCTATTACTGGCAATACAGCCACAACCCTATTGGACCAATAAAACATGATAGTACTTTTTAATGTATTATTCCTATAAGCCAAGAGTAGAAATAAGCATTATGGGTTATCTGAATCCAGCATTTCCTAAGCATGGGCATTTTTGACAGAACCAAGGACCATTTGGCACGGACCAAATATGCTCATGGATGTTTTAGACAGGACCAAATTTCAAGGACCTTTAGCCATAGATCAAAGTCCCCATGGATGTTTTGGTCAGGATGAACTATTCAAGACCTTTTTGTATGGACCAAATATCTCAGTGGACATTTTGGAAAGACCAAATGTTCACTGGTAGTGTCAGGCAAGTACCAAATCCATGTTAGGAATTTAGTATGTGATCAGAATAAATGAACCGGTGAATAAAACCACATTAGATTAAATTTCTTCTCTCCCCCCCCCACCCAAGGCTTTATTTTTTTATTTTTGCATTTTTTTTCCTTTATTGAATAAGATATTACAAATGTGTCCTTATTAGATTAAATTTCTACTACTATTTTTTAAACCCATATTTTTTAAACCCAGATAATATCTATTTCAGGTGTAAAGTGGAATCTGAAATAAAATCTTTTTTCAAAGAAGAGAACATTGGAAGTGAATGTCTTTCTGACCTTAAGAATTTTGGTGAGATTTTTTTTTTATCCTATATTTAAAGGGGTGTTTTGAAGATGAAACTGGACCACTCACTTCATGTTCTTTTATTAACTGCTGTTTGTTTTTTTCTAAAATAATCCAAAAATAAATCTGCACTCTAAGAACCTGTTCTTAAAAAGTTAAAATAGTGTGTTATCTTGATTTAATTTTGTTTCACTATAGAACAAGAGTTATCTGAACAATGGTGCCTGTATCTTAAAAATGTGATAAATCCTATTCAGCAATTGATAGCAGACCTAAAATACAGACAGCATTCACACTCACACAATGAGTTGAACTCAGTGGATGTACTGGAAGAGGTCAGTATATTACCTCTACTTTTAATAACGTAATATTTCATTTTTTGTCCCAACTAGAACCGTTTGAGATAAGGAACCAACATGGGTGTATTTTAATAGAAGATACAGCAAATTCTGTCTATTCAGTATCTTTTTTTAAAAATATATTTTATTGATTTTTTTACAGAGAGGAAGGGAGAGAGAGAGAGAGTTAGAAACATCGATGAGAGAGAAACATCGATCAGCTGCCTCCTGCACATCTCCTACTGGGGATGTGCCCGCAACCCAGGTACATGCCCTTGACCAGAATCGAACCCGGGACCCTTCAGTCCGAAGGCCGATGCTCTATCCACTGAGCCAAACCGGTTTCGGCTATTCAGTATCTTAAACATCCTCAGATCTGTCCAAGCTTGTTCATTTGGAGCCTGGAGTGTTACAATGGCCTCATACCTAGTCTCCCTGCTTTCATTCTTGCTTCTCCTCCCATTGCATTCTGGGACCTACCTTCAGTGCATGGGGATCAAGTCATCCCCCTGGCAAATCCCCTCAGGGCTCCTCCTGGCTCACATCATGCCCCTCCCTCTTCTTCAGTCTCATCTCCTGCCTGAAACCCGTTTCTGCCACCCTGTCACTGGTCTGGCCTTCTTTCTGTTCCTTCTCACACATATCAGGCTCCTTCCTGTCTCAGGGCCTGTGCACGGACTATTTCCTCTGTTTCACTGAGGGTGCTTTTTGTCCTTAGGTGTTTGCCTAAATGTCCTCTCTTCTGAGTGACCTGTTCTGATAGTCCACTTGAGGGAAGCCATAGTCACTCCCTATTACCTCACCCTGTTTTTACATCACTGACCTTCTCCTGATACTTTCATAGCTATTTTGTATTAGTTTATTGACAATCTCCCCTGACTAGAGCATAAACTCCGTGATCATAGTTGCATTAGACATAGGCTTTTAGATGATTTTTCTCACTCTATTTCTCAGTTGTCTGAAGTGTTATATTGCTTTCATAAATAATAATTTATAAAAATATATTAAAAATCCCATGCCCAGTTGAGGATTAGAGGCAAGGATGCAAGGGAAGGAAAGGCTGATTGGAACAGACAATCTGGTAAGCTTTCTGCCTTACCACAAACAAAATCAAAATGTGGGTTCAGAGGCTAGGACCCCCCTGTACTTCCCAGCCCAGTTTTGAGTTATGTGTCTGGAAACCCCTCTGATAAGCTCGCCCGGCTATGGCATCACTTGAACCCTCTCCCCCAGGTCCTCAAAGGCATATTCTCTTATCTAATTTATCATCACTTACTGGCTTTTGAGATTAATTTCTGTGAATTTAAATATACATATTGAATGAATCACAAGAATTTGCTTACTACTTGTTCTAAATGTTCCAATAGGTTGACTCTGTGAAGAAACAATTAAAAGCTGTCTTTGAAAGACTTAGCCTGGAGCAACAGAATTTAGAAAATAGTCTTTCAGACTGGAGTATTAAAGTAAGTGTGAAGCAGACAGTAATTTGTTTATCAATTTGTCATTGGTGTTAAATAAAACAATCATGTAATTTATTTTTCAGATACTAGATCATTATTCAGAAGAAAGGAGGAACCTGCTTAGTGAACTGCCAATGGAATTAGAAGCTTTGGAATGCCCATACCCTGATTTGAAATCTTCAATTTTTAATGAGTTCTGTAACTTTACAGAGAAATATCAAAAGAAACTTCAAGATTTTGATCTGCAGTTAGAAGACATAAATAGGTAATAACATAAAACTGCTTGAATTATGTAGATTTTTGCTACTACATTTTTATTTTTGTGGGAGATTACTATACTTCTGTTTTACCATTTTCATAGGTACTACTATGTGATTAGAATATAGTCAATCGATAAATGTTTAGATTGAATATTGTTGAATGGAAAGGGTTTTTTTTTCCCCCTCTCCAAAATGATTTCTCTGAAATAGTGGTTTTAAAGGTTTTTATAAGGTTGAAACATGATGAAAATAGCCTTCTCACTGAGCTCTCTACTACACAGGTAAGAAATAGTTTTTTTTAAACATGAAATTTTTGTAACTATGAATTTTCATTTCAAGATGTGAAGCGCTTCTTCAGTGGAGATTTACAGATCAGTAGTAACAATTGGTTGCAAGGAAAAAATGTAGTTATGGAATTATGGATTATTTGTAATCCACTGTGATTTTGTCTTATGGTGAATATAAGTATATTTTGTAAATTTTAAAAAACATGCTAAATTTTTTTTTTTTTTAGAAAGTGTACTTTTGGCTGTAATCCTCTCCTGAATGACAAATATACTGTTAAGTGATTTAAAATTCAGTTGTGGCAGGGTCAACTTCTCTAGTGTAAATTCTATATTAAAATTCATTTCATGAGCAAACTCAGAAATGCCATGTGGCTCAGATCAATAGTTTACCTCATGTAATGTTTGGCATATGAAGTTTCTGGGGAATGTTTTGTATGGAAATATGCTTTTTATTCTATTACATTGACCTAAAAAAATTTCCCCAAAGAGTATGTATTTAAAAAGAAAGAAAAACTATTGCAGAGATACATTTATAGTGTCCTTTTACTAAGGGCTTATTAAGGGCTGTTACTTTGAAACAGAAGAAAATAAATATGACAATTATTTGTATTTCTTACCTTTCTTAATGAATTGTTTGTAAATGAAATGCCTACATATAAAATTACTAGTGTTAAATGAATAACAATAAGGAAAACCTTAAATCCTATCAAGTAGAGTCATTTGTTTTAGTAGCTTCTTGATCCACAGTCTCCAGTTACTACTTCTAGTCTCTGCACAGTCGGCGAGGCAGTCCTAGGTGACATCTGAGTCTTTCCTGACCTAATATTCTTTCTTACATCTCTGTGGTGATGGTCTCATCTTCTTCCCTAACAAACATGCTTTAGTCTCCTAAGAGCTTCATCTCTCCCACCTCTCTGCCTTCCATTTTTCCTTTCCATATTGCAATAAAGCTGAGAAAAAAATGAATAATATATCATTTATATGTGTTGATTAATTGATGAATTAATTGAAAATCAGTCACAGTGATGTATTAACTCAACCATGCACTTAATTTAAGTCTCTAATTGTAAAATAAACATCCTTTCTCCCTTCCCTATCCCATCCTTATTAAAGAGATTTTAGAACTCAACAAGAAAAAAGGAGTGTGTGTGTGTGTGTGTGTGTGTGTGTGTGTGTGTGTGTGTGTGTTGTGACAGATGTGACAGATGCATTGCTGTCAGGCTGATTCGGGCTGTGAGGAAGGTAAATCTGACTCTGTCCTTTTTAAAAAATTTTTTAAATTGATTTCAGAGAGTAAGGGAGAGGGAGAGATAGAAACATCAATGATGAGAGAGAATCATTGATTGGCTGCCTCCTGTAGGCCCCTTGCTGGGGATCAAGCCTGCAACCTGGGCCTGTGCCCTGACCTAGAATCAAAGCGTGACTTCCTGGTTCATAGGTTGACGTTCAACCACCAGCCAGGCTGACTCTGTCCTTTTAAAGCAAGTTGATTGCCCCATGACCTTCCTTACACACGGCATTTTGTCCCCTTAGCGCAGGTAACTGAGATGGTGGTGTCTCTCGGATAGCAGCTCCTAAACATGGAGGAGTTTGCCTTCGCAGCCTGTAATGCCTGCTTCCTGCTAAGATCTACCCCTCACAGCTCACTTTCTTACCTTCCTTTTAATCTGACCTTTTCCTTCATACAACCCTGAGCACTCAGAAAAAGATGAGATTCACAGCTTCATTGATGTTACTGGAGATTAAGTAGAAAATAAGATGAATGTACATCACATGCTAAGGGAAGAAACAAGGATTAGAAGACAGAAAAGGGGTAGGGAGGATGTTCTAAAAAGGGATATTAAATGACTAGACTCTGATCCCTTGAAGACAAAGTAATTTATTAACAACATTTGTACGCTTAGCACCTAGCATATCTGGGCACATCATCGCTGCAAAATAAATGATTGTTCAACTGAGTTGAATTAAATATGCAAACAATGAAGGTGAGCATGGCAAGGCATGTGATGGGGCCAGTAGGATTCTAGTTTCGAGGAATACAGGTTCATGAATCCTTGTTTAATAGTGTGCTTCCCGCATATAATTATACAGAACAAAGTTTATAAAATTAATGATGTTTTACTTCATGAATATTTATTGGGTAATCCTTAACATACCAGTGATCTCTGCTAAGCTCCTTACTAGGGTGTTCAGTAGACAGACTAGATAGGATATGGCTTTGCCTTTAAGAGGGCTTGGAATATTTAGAGGAAGCAATATATTGACATGTATCCTAATCAAATACATATTACATGCTCACAGCAACTAAGAGACTATTTTATAACATGCTGGCTGTGAATGATGAAATAAAACTGAATGATGTTTCAGGCATAGCTTCATTGAGGAGAAAGAGAGTAAATGGGCTATTTTGAATAAGTACAGAGGTCATGGGCATCAACAATCTGACTGGTGGGAAGTAAGGTGAGCAAAATAATATTCTAACCAGCACAATGAGCTATATGTTCAACTGTTATATTAGTTTGCCCAGTATCTGTCATAATTTTGATATGGCCATTTCCCCTTTGGATTCCAGTTATTTGGCTTTATAAGGATACACATACATTGTGCCCATGTAGGTACACACCTACATAAGTGAGTTTGTGCATATTTTAAATAGATGTTGCTATGATATAAGAACATTGACATTTCTGGGGGACATTTATTAAGTTATAAGTTTTCATTGGGCTAATGGCAGTGGACCTCAAGGTTAATCCCAACATTTATTTTAATTCCCCCTATTTTGTGGCGGCTCACTGGTTTGGTTTGGACTGATTCCATCGCAGACCCCAAGGTAGTCCCTGGTGGGATTGTGCACCAGTCAGTCACCACATTTCCCCGGCCTCAGCTGCTAGCTCATGGTGGTCCTCAAGTCAAGGACAAAGCTCAGAACTTTTGTTAGGTACTTGTGAGGAGTAGTGCCTTTTTTTCTTAGTGGGTGGACCAAGAAAGCACATAGTTGAGTTTGCTGCTGGCAGCTGTTGTGTGGATGAAGGGAAACAACACACAAGAAACCCAGATCATCATGGGGAAACTGAGCTGGCGCCCTGTTTGAATGGTGTGGGAAGCCACCCTCACTGCTGGATTTTCAAGGGTCATTAGTCCACATTAATGTCTAAAGTCAGTGTGAGTAGGAATGCAAACAACTAAAATTTTATATGCTAGTTGATTTCAATATATCCATAACTCATGAAATAATCTATTAGTTTAGTGCAATTACAATTGAAGAATTGTTAAAATGTATTCTAAAATGTATCAGGAAGATTAAGGTTGTAAAATCAGCCAAAGTTTCAAAATGAAGAATAACTGAGATTGGTTGTGAAACTTGCGCAGCCAAATACAAATATATAATATCAAAATAGGTTAGAAAGTTTTATATATCTGTGGAATATGTAGCAGATAAGTAGAACAAAATAGAAAGACAGAACATATCTATAATAATTTAATTTATTATAAAGGAAAAATTTCAAAACTATAGGAAAGATTGGGTTATTTATAGGAGCATTAAATAACAGGAAATTGGGAAAATGAGGTTAGATCTCTTTCTTATCCCATATGACTAAAAAACTCTAGGTTTATTAAAGTATGAATAAGAAAAATCATAAATAATGAGATAAAAAACAAAACAAATATTAAGTAATCTTGGAATGGGGAAGGCCTTTTTAAAGTATGCTACCTGCAGTGAAAATCATAAAGAAAAGGTTTAAATAAGTGCAATGACATAAGCATTAAAAAGAAAAAGATCTAGCAGGATGGTTTCTCAGGCAAGTTTTAAATCTTTAAATAATCAATAGGGACTTCCAGTTTCTGGTCCAGCAGGTAAGGAGCTTAGAGTTTGTCACTCTGCTCTAAAAACCTGAACAAGCTAAAAAATCACCAACTCTTCTTAGGTACATCAGGGTAGCAAAGTCACAGGGCAAACTGCTGCCCTCCAAATTGGAGAGACAGGCAATATGAGAGTCACATTTTACCTGAGAATAAACCCAGGAGCAGAAACCTCCATGTGGGGACGATCTGGTGTTCAGGTTTGGGCATGTTGTACCTCTGCACTTTACTTTCGTAGCTCCTCTGAGTCTGTGTGCTCTTCTCTTTCCTTCTAGTTGTAGAATTTCCACTCAGCCAGCCTTCCTGTGGTTCTGGATGATGACCGTTCTGTCTTTTAGTTGTATTTTTGAAGTTGCTGTCGGAGGCAGCAATTTCCGGTGTTTTCCTATGCCGCCATCTTGGTCTCTCCCCGAGAATCACATTTTACCTGAGAATAAACCCAGGAGCAGAAACCTCCATGTGGGGACGATCTGGTGTTCAGGTTTGGGCATGTTGAATTTGAGATGCTGTCAGATTTCCAAGTACAGATTTTGTAAAGACAGTCAGTTATATGAGTTACAGGTATGTTGTTTATAAAAATGAAGAAATATTCTACACATATCCATTGATTTTCTTCTTGATGAATCAGATCCAATATTATCCATTTTTAATAAATGTTTATTATTAACCGTCTATGTTTACGAACCTTCATTGTGTTAAATATTCTTTTACAACCTATTTTTTATTACTTGCAGGGTGTTACAATATATGGTTGTACCACAAAAATTCAACCCTCTACCTGGTTTTGCAAAGTTATTTATTACATGTTTTGATATTTGTTTAAAAACCTTGACACAAATAACTTTTTCACTATATTT